AAAAAAGATGAAGCATTTGAGGAAATTCTACTGAGTGCACCAAAACGTCATCATCCCACAGTAAGAGATTGGGACTTTCTGTAGTTTTTAGACATGGGATTATAGCTATAGTTGCCTTATGTGAGTTTTGATGATTATAAGTCGGACTAAGTCGGATCAGACGAATTCCGAAAGTTGTGCAACCAACCAGAATATGGTGAAATGCACACCTTTATGATTCGTAAAGTCCTATGATCAATTATTTAGGCGATTATCTAACTGAGACGGATCACGACAGAACACAATTAAACCAAATGCAATATACCTTCAACACAAAAACCCAGTCCCATGAAAGCTAAATGAACTTCAAAATCGCACATTAAACATCATCAAATGATACCTTTGGGATTAAGATCACTATTCCATATAAAAGAAATGTATATCCCAAAACATTAGCCGGAAAATTGTTGAATGTGGATTTCTCAAACCATGAAGAAATGCAAATTACCGACTCTTTCCATCGCAATACATCTTAACCATGACAATGAATGAACTTCACCACAACCAATAGCCAATATTCAAATAAGCAAAGCATGAAATAGAGACTATAAAAAGCAAAAAAATACACAGCCTCCAACAATGTATATATACTACATATTCACAACTTCAAAAGCATCCAATAGATTTGGGAAAAAAGGGTATACAATTGAAACAACATCTATTAACACAACACAAAAATGACTGATGGGGAAAAAAAGGTACAATGAAAAAAAAAACCGACCACCATAGCCATGAAACGCGAACAAACCAGCCATGAACAGCTAAAAAAAGTGCACGTTTCGACAGCGATAATCGATGCACATAAAACCACTACAAACCCACAGCCAGACACCAAACAAAATCACGCAAATGACAAAATCAAGAGACAGCACAACCCATACCTGCTTTTTTCCTGCAATGAACAGCTAAGAAAAAATGCACGTTTCGTCAGCGCTAATCGATGCACTTAAAACCACTGCAAACCCACAGCCAAACACCAAACAAAATCACACAAATGACCATATCAAGCGACAACACAACCCAAACCTGCTTTTTCCAGACTTTCTTCGCCTTTTGATGGCCGGATATTTCACCAGAGTACAAACTCCCGTTCTTGTGGGTGATCAGGCCACTTCCCATGTCCTCGTCGCCCTCTTTCCTATCCCCACAACCTAGCAACCTGTTCTTCATCTTCTTCTGCCCGCTCTCCCCACCAGACCTGGGTCGGCCCCTGATCGGGCTCGACCCGGCCTGAAACCCGCCACTGTGGCTCATTCTCAATCCTTTTGGGGATCCCAATCCCTCCACGCGATCCAAGTTGCAACCAAGTAGCTGGTGGAAAACCGGATTCAACTCTCCCTGAAAGCAATGAGAAGTCAGATTTCGAAGACTCCTTTCGCCTTTGTAGACCCCAGCAAAGGCGCACCTGACGTTCATCAGAAAAGCGAGGCCATCGGGCTTCTCCAACCTCTCGTCGAAGATAGCGAAGCAGACGAAGTCGTCTTCGATCAGAAACGCGTACGTCCTCGATCGGACGGTGTGGGTGAATTGGGAGTGGAACGGCGGCGTGTTGTCGAGACACCTGACGGCGATCTCGCCGACCGCGGCGTCTTTGGAGTTGAACTCCGCCAACACGGTTGTACCCTTGGCAATGCAGGCATAATGGATCATATCCGGATCCGAAACCATCGTTTTGGCCAGAATTGAACAGGAAAAATCATCAAAAGGGGTCCTCCTTTATTTTTTTATTTTTTTTTTGTTTTCCGGAAAAATAGAAACTCAAATGATTTAGGGATTCGAACGGTCGAGTAGTAGTATGAGTAGTGTGGTAAGCCTCTGTTGCTCCGAGGTAGGAAGAAATTGCTGAAAGGAAAACGAAGATTGCGAGAGATGGTTAGGTATTGGGGGATGGATCGAGATTCAGCCTTGGGAAAAGGGAAAGAAAAAAAATTATACGTTATATGGGACAAACTAGGCGAAGCTAACAGACAGAC